TGACATTTTCTGATAAGCATGATATAATCGCTTCGTCACAGTTTGAATTTCGCGAAAACCGATCTACGGAACTTTCTCTTTTAAAACAAAAATATTACATTTCGCGTAGTTTTGAAGATAAAAAGATGACACTGAGTTTTCATCGATTTCAGCAAAGCATTCGATCATTTAATATGTTAATCGGAAAGTTGGAAATGTACGGATTTCGTGGTTATGCCTCAACTTTAATTGCGTCATACCTATCGCATCGAAAACAGTATGTTCACATAACCCAAGCAGCACACTTGCTTGGGCTAGCTGGGGCCAGGATGGGGCCTTGGCCGTTGTAGACTGGACCGGGACCGCCCAGGGAATTCGGTGAACTGCCAGCCTGGCGTCTCACCGTATTTCCCGGGCACCGGTATGCCACGGAACTGCCAGGGAAGGGATTTCCTTGGCGTTCCTCGTCTTTTCTTGGTCCGAGCAGACCAGTGTAGACAGGCGGCCGCCAACATTGGCGCTTCAGTGTGTTCATTGGCCCCAGGATTTTACGGAACTGCCAGGGAAGTGATTCCCTTGGCGTTCCTTGTATTTTGTTGGTCCGAGCCGACCGGGGTAAACAGGCGGCCACCAACATTGAAGTCTTAGTGGCGCTTCAGCGTGGTCATTGGCCCCGGGATTCTACGTAACTGCCAGGGAAGTGATTTCCTCGGCGTTCCTTGTATTGTCCTGGTCCGAGCCGACCAGGTTAGACAGGCGGCTGCCAAGATTTAAGGATTTCGTGGCGATTCATTGTATTCACTGGCTCCAGGATTCCACGGAACTGCCGGGGAGTGGTTTCGGGCAGTGGCGTCACAAGGGGGGGGGGACCGCGCCCGGGTGCTGCGCTCAGGGGGGGGGGGGGGGGGGGGGGGGGTCGCGACGGGATGCGGGGGGAGGGGGGGGGGCGCGGCGGGCCACGCGAGAGCGGAGGGGGGGGTGGGGGGGGGGAGTTCGCGGCGGGCCACGCGAGAGCGGAGGGGGGAGGGGGGGAGCGGCGGGTCACGCGGCCACGCACGAGCGGAGCGGGGGGGGGGGGGGGGGGGGGAGGAGGGGGGTGTCGCGGCGGGCTACCGCCGCAAGTGCCGCTGACCCTCGTGACGCCACTGGTTTCGGGTGTCGTTTATTTTTGCAATATCAGCGCGCGAAGGAACGACGGGCAATTACCGTCGTTCATTATTTTTTGTCTGGAACTTGCTTGACATCGGACCCTGAAGTACTCGATACGGCCACTTTTACTTACATCAACTTAAAATCGGTTCTTACGTTGCGCTTAAATTTGACTCTCACGCTATTATCACAAAGCCAGTGACATACAGCTTCGTACAGGAGAATCTGTGCTTAGACCTTTGGCCAGGAACAGTTTCCTCCTTTTCAAGAATATTGCGCTTGCCGGCGTGACGCGATCGTCGGGCTTTATTGACACACCCGTGCCGACAGTACATCGCAACCGCAAGCAGGGTCCGCAAAACAGCACCCCCCATGTCTGATTTCACAAAAACGCCAAAAACAAACTGTTGCACTGGATGTGTAAATTAGAAAAAAAAAACAATAGAACACATTTCATCAAATTCCAGAGGCCGGTGTTTATTCCAGAACAAATTAACTAATCGCAAATCAGTCGGCGCTTCAAGAAAAAATATGTGAAAAACATGCTGCTCAACTAAATCTGCGTACATTGCAGAGGCGTTGAGCGCGCGTGTTCAATTTTCCGTTCGCTAAGACCCCGAGTTCTTTCCAGACTGAAAAGAATGACCGGGTGCTTCAGTCAAATTGATCGTCCCACATTTAAATAAACAACAAATATCAGTTTCACATGCTACGTAATTGCATCCTGGTGGTGCGTTTTCTTCGCGAAAGCGAACTTGCCTCACAAGCTTCAAGCAAGAAATGCTTTTTAAAACCGACATGTGCTAAGCCTTTAGTTTTTCAAATGAAACGCGACACGCTAAACTTCCGACACGAGAAAGGCTTAGATGTTGGCTGGTATTTCTAAGTTCAAGAAGAGGCAAGACTGCTCTCGCTGCACCAATGTCAACGCTTAGTGCCGCAGTATGAGAAACTGATTTTTAGTATTTATTTAAAGCGGGAACGACCGATCTGACTCACCTTGCACCGCCAACACACCTGGAATGCGGTCTGCACGGACCGCACCACAAGTTACGAAAGCCTTGGCCACGCGTGGTGTAAAGCAAAAGCGTTGTATGTGCAAGTGGCGCTAGTGATCAAGTACATAAAAAAGAAGTTTATTCAGCGGAAAATCGCATTCACTGATGTAAGGAATCGAAACAAAGTAAAGTGCACCGGGAATGTAAATATTTATTTACATTTTTATTTTAATCTCAAAATTAAGCAAGCCGGATTTTAATCCGCGTTTGGATAGGTTCCCACGTGGACTCATGCTTATCAGAATTTGTAAATACGAAATAGGCTTAGCGTAGGCAGTCAAAACATAGATGACATAGATCTACCCTGCCATCTATTACACTATCTACATACAAAACATAGGTTACATCTATGTTTTGTATCATTTCTTTGTTCTATGACTCTTCATTCTCTCTTTCACCATAAATACGAGCGAAGGTGAGCTCGTGACGTGTCAACATCGACCTCACATTGCTTTCGCTCGCACTGAGCGTGAAACGAAGTGTAGGACATGTGGGGCACGTTTCGGCGGTGCACGCGTCGACGTGTTCAGAACTAATTTGTTCTACGTCATCAAGGTTAGCGTAACGTCTGCAGGGCAAAAATTGCAAATTGGGTTATGGGGATATTTTTACAGCGTGCAGTTGGTCAGCCATTTAAAGTTGCGACGAGTCACTCGCGGTAGATGAGCAATTTAGCCGGTGCAGTACAACCACTAGCCTGGGGTCCTTAACGTGCACCACGCAGTAGTGATACACGAGCGCAGGTCGGTAGGATGCTCATCCAGATCGAAACGGGCAGGGGTGGGGCTCGAACCCAGGATCCCTGGGTTCTGCAGCGCGAGCTTTCACTCCACGCGCGTCGAGCTGGGTGTGCGCAGAGCCTTTTATACTGGGAGAGTTCGGCGGGTGGGAGGGGCTTACGGCCCGCTAGGTCTAGCGGACTCAGCGGGCGCCGCTTCCGCCATGATGTGCCTCCCGGCGAGTGGGTCCCCATAGACATGCGATGTATACGCGTGTAGGTTTTGCCGTTTGCGCTTTTGTTGGCGTAAGGAGAAAGTCGAAAAATCAAGCATTTTGTTACGTTAATCATACGTTAATCCTAAACTTACCTCGCACAATCGAGAACTCGGCTTCCAGTCAGCCCTTCTTGGTTTCCCAGATCTTGTGGCTTGCGCGGTTTTCTTTTCCTTGCGGGAACCGGTACATCCTGAACCCCTTTTCCCGTTGTTCGAGCACCCAACGGCACTGCAGCCCCCCCATTTCTTTTTCATCTAACGTCTGGCAGAGCGCAGCGCAGAACGATCATTTTCATCGTCGTCTCTCGCTCCATGGACTCTAGCGAGCCGACTGCCGGCTCGAGTCAGTAGGGCAAACGGGTTTTATCAGCCGCCACCAGCCTTACACCAAACAAGGGTGAACCTTGCAATTGAAGGTTATAATTATAATGCAATTAAATGCAAAGGTGCAATCAAGCTAGAAGGCAAGGCACATCATGGCGGATGCGCACAGTTGCCAGACTGTTTGATCAGTGCTGCCAGACTGGCGGCTGGATCAAAGAACCGCCGAACTCTCCCAGTATAAAAGGCTCTGGGTGTGCGCTTTAGCCCACTTCTGCAGGGCTCCAATTTCGTCAAAGCTGGGGTGAGCACGTGCAAATTAGAGGCAACGCAAAGCCTCGTGGGCGTGCTCTTGTAGTTAGTTTTCTGAATGCGCTGATCACGTGCGCTGAACCTGTAGCTATGGCTCCAGAGAAAAATTGGGGAGTGTGTATGTTTATACAGCCTAGAATTTGGTCTGCCTCAACGGCCGACGAGTCTCCCAGCTGTAGATGAAAAATTTAGCCAATGCAGTACAACTGATAGCGCAGGGTCTTTAACGTGCATCACGCAGTAATGATACACGAAAGCGCGCCTGTAGGATGTTCATCCAGATCGAAACGGGCAGGGGTGCGGATTGAACCCAGGATCCCTGGGTTCTGTTGAGCGAGCTTTCGCTCCGCGTGCTCCGAGCTGGTGTGCTCTAGCCCACTCGGCCGCCGATCCCGCTCCGGAGGGAAACAAGTCTTCTGTTTAGGCACGCACAGCAAGTTAGCGATTGGATTACACCGCTGTATGCACTGAAGCTGTAACGATCTAGAAGGTCCACAAAAAAAAAAAAATACAGCCATACTCGTTGGCAGGTTGAAAGTAAACGCTGGGGAGGGGGTCGGCTCCTCCCGAGCGTTCGCTCTGCAAAAGTGGAAAGAGATGGGAGGAGCTGCTTCATCTCAAAACTGAAAGTTTTCAGATGAAGCAGCTTCTCACTCCTTCGATTTGTGTGTATGTTGATAAGGGAAAAAACGCAGTGCCTCTTATGCTCATTTAGCGACGCAGCCAGGAATATTTTCTAAGGTGGAGGGGAAGGGGGGGGGGGGGGGTGCGCTTCTCCCGCCTCCCCTGTATTTACATCACTGGTGTATTGTCGGCTGTTCATGATCTTGAATTTCTCAAATCAACCTGTTTTACTGAGCCACAAAACACGGCCTGTAATTCAAACCAAACCAAAAAAAAAAAAAAAAACTTAAAAAAATACGTACATTTTCTTAGCAAAAAAATAAAAACTTAAAACAGATATCCAGTGAATGATTAAGCAATTACATGTATTCACAAATAAGAAATCAAGTCGTATTAAGATATTGAACACCGTTTGTTTGAAGGACCAGATGGACATGAGTTGATGCAGATTCCAATCAGCAAACAAAGGTTATCAAGCAACGTATAACAGGAGAAGAAGCTGGGAAATTATGTCTGCTCGCATTCGATTGACTTCAAAGTTCGTATAGAGTACGATAACTGCAGTCATGTCAACCGTAGTGACACCGGCCCCAGAAATATGGACTGAGATAGAGTGGGGTCGAAACCGAAACTATTAAGTCGTATTTCAATCCTTGGCTGCCTTGGCTGGCTTGGCTTCGTGCCAATTCAAAGCCGCAAGCAACTTCTGGATCCTTGTTCGTTCCGGAGAGGACACAAAGGCCTTTCTCGGAGTGCGTCGGTCGATCCGAGTTTAGGTAAGTTTTGCCGATTTCATATTCAAAATGCATGCTAGAAGAATATCCAGATATGCTAGATCATCTTCGGAACAACGTAGCTCACGTTGCCACCGTAATTCGGATGATTTTTCACTTTTTTCTACGATTTGAGTCGAAAAAAGTGAAATCGTCTTAGCACTGACCGGCGGCGGCGGCGGCGCCGCCGCGGTGCCGCCGTGCCGCCGTGCCGCTATCTTGAGAATCCCGTGAATGCTCTGCGACACCGGAGCACTGCAGAGACGCTGATTAGATTGTTTCTAAAGTACGCGTTGCTATCAGTGAACTGTTCTGTGTTGTTAAACGCTTGATTGCGTGTCGTCTCGTCCTTTTTCATGCTAGCGGCAGCGTTGAGTTGTGCCCAATGTTTTGAAACTCCCGGCCCGCGCGCTCTGGGTTTTCACGCCGCGTCCAGCGGGATGGCGCGGTTCGACTGGCGCTGGCGTTTGGCGTATTGATAGGACACGCTCCTAACTGGGTGTCGTCGTTGTGCTCGTGTACGGCGTGTGCCTCGCGCCGGCGTGCGGTGCGTGGCGTTGGGTTTGAGGTACTCGGGCCTTGAGTTTCTTATACTTGGGACACACGGGCAACTCGAATGCCATTTACAACGAATGACATTTGAGCGGACGGCCAATCGGCGGGCGACACTCCGGGCGTGACGGATTCCACGCGCGACAGATAGCGAGCTGATTCGCCGATCACACAATTGTCATTCGTTGTATACACCTTTCCAAAAAACACTCGACCCCAGGGGCAACAAACCGTTTTCGAGCCCAGTCACTGAGTTTGAGGCTAGACTCTCACCGGCGTCCCTCCTAACCCTAACCGAGGGGACTGTGATTTCAATAGGCGCAGCCTGCGTAGGCGCAGTTTCAAACGCTGCTGGCGGCTAAATTCTCGTCTTTTCCAGCGATATTTTGTGTTTCATGGTACATGTATTTTCCCGAGAACATTGAGAAAGCATTGTACCACATTTGAAAAAACAAAAAAGCAACAAAAAAAAAACTTAACTATTTTTGTTGGGTATGCGCGCGACAGAACGAATGCGACTGGAATGTATAGTTGACGGCAAAACGACAAAGCGTTTTGCCGTCAAAAATAAATTGCAACAGAAGAGGTCCGAAAGGCATGCATTTTTCACACTCACAAATAACGTGTTTACCGATGGACAGGACACGGACATACAATTGAGGAAGTGTTCACATTCGAACAATATATCGTACGTACCACACGATGCAGCGTTATCCGAAAAGAATTTATTTGAGAAAGATCTCAAATAGCACAGTCACAGTCGACGACAGTCACATCTTGACGATCGCACGGAATCCCAGATGACTTCGTTTTGTTGCACGTTTCGGGGAGAGCTTCCTATTTTCACAACCGCACCAAGGCAAAGAAACAAACGCGACTGACCCATTTCTCACCCCAACCCGGACAACTATTTTTGGAGATAACTGAGGATTCTACGGGGATTATCTCTGGGAGGGGGGAGAACAATGTTCGCAAAATCGCGTCGAGGGCCGTTCAACGTCCTTCACCTTTCCCGTGAATGTCGAGCAGAAAAGCTTGAATGGCAGGCACTTACCAGCCTTATTTCTCACAATGGAAGACAGCACAAAAAGGGTACGCAGCATGCATAAAAAAATAAGCGGAAACTTTCAAGAGAGGCGAGAAAACTTCGAATGCAAAACCGCAAAAACGTACGTAGAGAACCGCGCTCAGCGGGTCTTCACAGTCCCAGAGAGTGGCAGAAAATTTCTAGCTGATAGAGGGCGCGAGAGTCGCACCAGCCGCATCAGCATCAGCAACATGGCGGCGGCCTAGGAGCGTTTTTTGGAAAGGTGTATATGGCATTCGAGTTGCCCGTGTCGCACGGGTATTAGAAGTGTTGACCGAGCCCTCTTAGTCTCATCGTTCTTGTTGTTTTCTCCCTTGCTGCCTGTTTGTTATTTTGATAATCTTGCTCTGGTTGATTGGCCAGCAGTCGATCGTGCGTACGGGCCCCTGCATATATGTCTAGCCTTGCGAGCCACCCAGGGTACTACTGTCGCTAATAATGATTATTATTGCTTGCCTTAGCGACGTTTTAATTTACCCCGGCTACTACTGTCGCTAATAATGATTATTATTGCTTGCCTTAGCGACGTTTTAATTTACCCCGGCTACATTCGTGACTTGTAGAACGCGTGGGTGCACAAGTAGTTTACATGGCTGAGGAAAGAGGTTGAATGATTTGATTAAAATGCTCTGATCTGGTATAGAACGTTTAGTGGTACTGGGGAGACACATACAAAGCAAGGAGATCCAGCTTTGAATGTGATGGCTCCCTACTTACTACAACGTTTAAATACCTGAGGCCCTGGTAAAGTTGAAGGGAGTCTCTTAAAACATTTGTGGAAAGACCCAAAGCTGGATACAATTTTAGTCTAATAGCTGGTCTACACTGCAGCAACCGACTAGGACTGACTCCGACAAAACCAGTCTTTAAGCCTCTTGTGACGGCTTATGACCACGCCGTCCAGCAGTAATAATGGCAGTCGTAAGCGGCTTAAAACCCTGTTTTGTTCAACTCGGTCGTAGTCAGTTGCAACAGTGTGAACCAGCTCTAACGCCTCTTAGGTGCATGCGCAAACAGTAGCTTCAGGATAAACTTGCGCATTGCACTGCCCCAGAGGATATCGATCACATCCCCGGTGTTTATTTTTAATCTGTATCCCTGCACTGCAGAACATGTCAAGAGGCTTGTTGATTGCTGTGCATGTGCCTACCAAGCGAGCTGTGCTATTTTTAAGTGGTGTTTAATTTGTTTTTAGCTTCCTGGGATTTCTTAAGGTACCAGTAGGTATCTAAGCTCTACATGCACATTGTTCTTAACAGGCACTTCACCAGAAATTTGTTTTTTTTTTGGGGGGGGGGGGGGGGGGGGGGGGAGGGCCCAGCAAAATGGACGATTTTGGGGGGGGCGAGGATAGGGTAGGTAATAAAGAAAAGGTGAGGTAGGCTCCTACCCCCCCCCCCCCCCCCCCCCCCCTTTTCGGCTGCGTGCCTGGTTCTTAATACAATTACGTTATGAAGAAGCTCATTTTCCTTGTTTGGTTGAGTTTAATGGTGCTGTCATCATGGTCTTTGCACTGTCGACAACAAGAGAAGCGTAATGTTGGCACTTTTTCTTTTGTTGATCTGTGAAGCAAGTTTTGGTTTCTTTGTTTGTTCCAGAATATCAGTCTGATTCTTATTCATGGTATTGCAGGAAGTCTGTATCATCAAGAAAAAACTGCAGGTGGCTGGAAGCTGCCGATCAGCTGCCAGTCTGGATAGTAGCCATCAACTCAGCAAAGGCCTGCAGGCGAATCAGCCCAACCTGTTTCTCTGCTGCCTTTCAAGACAGGATGGTTTGTGAAAAGTGAAACGGGGCCCATGCACCGCTTCCGCAGGGCCCTGCTGGTATTTATCTGACCTTTTGTTTTCCTAAACAAATAACACCATTCCAAACTGTAATATACCAAGCAATTGCCCACTCTAAATTGGGGATGACCATGGAGAGCTGGGGGATAGGGTAGGTAATAAAGCAAAGGTGTACATGGTCGGGTGGTCCCTTGGTCTGACCACGGAATTACAAACAGCTGCCATTTGCAAAGCTGATTGACTGTGCAAACACGTAAAAACAAACAGTCTGTTTTTTTTTCTTTTTTTTTATTACAAATTAACATCCTAAAGAATGGTTGCTTACGCACTTGCTTGTTCTTGTTATAAAGCCTTAAATTTATTCTTCCGAGTTCGAACAAAAAAGCAACCCATCTTTTTTTGGGCACAACTTTCTTTGGCAATGAAGAGAAAACTAGGGAGGGGGGGAGGCAGGCAGTGCCAAAGGCTCTGTGTTAGTGCACCAAATAGTTATCGTTTTTTGTTTTTTTTTGTCTCAGTTTCAGTTAGGGTGTTGGCGTGTCAACCACGCAGTTCATTGCATGTTTTTGTACGAGGATTGCGGTTGAGGGAGCTGAACCGCGATCGCCGAGCATGCAGGCATATTCAGATCTATTTCTGAAGGCTTCACCCGTTTTTAAGCGTAAGCCAACACTTTGACTGAAGCACTCGGACAGACTTGCAAGGTAGATTTCACCGTGGTCAATCTCCTAGAATTTAATTTGTCTCTCAGCTGACGAAGATAGGCAGTGTCGGATCAGGAAAAGCTGCGAACTTCATGATAGATAAGTGCCGGAAAAATACCTAGACAAAAATTTGACGTGAACACTGGCGTACCGGCAACTAACATTTATTGAAAACAAAATTTCTTATATAGTAAGTGGTAAGGATGCAGATTTGTGGTAATGAACTGTCCTCTCATGTTGATATCTTTTCAGATATATCAGTGTTTAGAAGGGAGCTAAATTTTTATCTTTAATTCGTGATTGCATGTTAGTCTGTTCTTTTTTACAAGTGGAAGACATTGTGTTAAGTCATCTACTACCATTTTATGTGCCACCACACTATGGCCTAGTGGTCGTTCTGGGGCATGATTCAAATAAAACATTATTATTATTATTATTATTATTATTATAGCTGTGAAAAACGTCAGTCATGACTACAACTGGTCAACCCTCTATCAAAAAAATCATTCTTTTGCTGATAAGGTTATGGATGTGTCACTTGTACACCTGGTGCCTTTGGCTTTAATCTTAAACGCCTGGTGTAGCTCTCTAGATTCTTTATCTGGGTATCTGGCCAAAAATTTAGTGTCTTTAAACGACTGGGAGCAAAAGCAGCGTCTGCAGTGTGTGGCCAGATGTCGTGATGGAGATCGCTTGTGTGGCCACCTCGCGTTCGCGGGCGCAATCATTAATACATAGGCCTGTCTGACCCGTGTACACAGAACCATATGACATTGTGATTCCGTACACAACTTTGGTTGTGCATTCTGTGAATTTTTTGCAGTGTTTAGTTTTGCATTTGTCTTTTCCAAGGGCCGCTGCTGCAGCGACAACACACATCAGCTGCTGCCCTTGTTTCCCGTCATTTAATGACACCAAATTTTTGGCCAGATACCCAGATAAAATGTCTTGAAAACGCTACAGGAGGTGTTTGAGATTATAGCCGAAGGCACGAGTTGTACAAGTGACACATCCATAACCTTATCAGCAAAAGAATATGAATTTCTTGATAGAGGTCTACATTGGTTGTAATCATGATTGACATTTCTCACAGCAATGTAACAGATTTTTTTTTTTTTTTTCAATGATGTTAGTTGCGAGTGCGCCAGTGGCAACTTCTTGACCCTGTCTATTTTTTGGCGCTTGTCAATGATCATGAACCACCTGACCCGAATTGCCACATGAACGAATTTCATGAGTGCTGCCGTGTTTTGAGGTCAGTTATCTGTAAACTCTTCTGGTGCTGAAAAACTATTGCGCGGGAGGAATATACAGAAATAGAAGCACGCACACTCCACGACGCGAAGTCGCATTCCATTTGGATTGCATTCAGTTATGGCTGGCCCTAGGGGGTCGCTGGCACACCACAGCTCAGAATATGTGTAGCGAGGATTGCGCTGCAGAACCCAGGGGTCCTGAGTTCCGTCCCCACCCCTGCTCAGACACACCAGTGAGCTTGCTAGCCAACCGGCATACGGAAACAACTAGGAGTCCCGGTTCCCACTGTCCCATTTGTCATACATGTTGCACACCACTTGCTTGGTTTGTTTTAAGATTTCTTGGTTGCCAAACTTCATAAAAATCTTACATGTCAAACAAAGGGGCGAGCTCACAGAGTGTGCCTGCAATAAACCGCACTGATGATGCCCAAAGATGCGCATGATAAAGATGCCATCTTAATTTTGCAGGGTGCTAGAAAACCTAGGGTGAATTTAAACCAAGAAAACACAAAATGGCTAAAAAGGAAATGCTCTAGGTTTGGCACATCCTGGCCAATGTTATGCTAACATTCTAAAGTCAAAGCTAAACAGAACAATTTTACATATATTTTAATTGGTTACGTTCCACCCAGCAAATTATTATGGTTGAACTATATTCAGCTATGCAGTGAAATGGTGTCCTTTGGCTCTCTAGCTTTAGCTTCATTGCCACGGAACATTGTCCCCAAGTATATCACTTTCTAGCTCTTTTCGACTGCACCCCTCCTATTCCTCTCCTGCTTTGCTGTTCTACTTGTTCTATCCCCATTCTGCCTGCCAGTCGTGGAGATAAACGCCCATGGCGACAGGGTGCCTGATGTCTCTTTCATATATTTTTTTAACTTGCTTAAAATAGAGGAATAGGCATTAATATGTCCTTAGATGAGTTGATATGTTTCAAAAGTAGGGGTTGAGCGCTTACTCTGCCGCGGGTGCATGCTCGGTGTTTTTTGGTAGTTTTATGGCGTTGTGCGTTACTAGAATAAGTTGGGCTTTAGTATAGTTACCGCATATGTGTACAGTAATTCACGCAGTTGTTAATGGCCGTTAGTACCTGACTCAAACCTGTGCAGGGTTTCTATGAGCTGAAAATTGGTATTGTTGAGAAATTCGGCAATTGGAAAAGTCTCAAGATTTCCAGCCTAATCAGTATCGATCAGGGAATTTCAGCCTTCCTTTCTCTGAATGTAAGCAAAAGACACGTGTGGTGTGACACATGCACCTTCCTCCTACTCAGCAACTCGGCCGGCCTGCCAATGTAAATCTTTGCTGGAAACTAGAGTCTTGGTAGAATCCAGAGATGCAACTTCATCTCGAAATGTATTTACAAGGCAAACTTCTATACTTTCAACGAACTGCTGCTGCTTATGGCAGATTTGTGGAATGGCTTCATAGTGCGAGAGTTTGTCTCTATAGCTACCCTAGTTGCTCCTGAATAAACTTCTAGGGGATCTTTTCCGGGCTGTGAACATCATGACAGTTGAGGTAGTTTCTGCTGGAAAAGGGAGGGGGGCAGAGAGGGTATCCCTCAGCTTGACAGTCCATAGAAGCTTTGTCAGCCAGGATTTTGAATGTTGCGAGGACAATGACAGCTGTGTTAGCTCATATATTTTTTGCCAGAAGTTGTACGACTAACTGCCAGGATTGCAACATCCAACAGCATGACATGCCAGCTCCTGTGGTGTCATTTAATTTTGTCGCTTAGAGACCACTTTTGGTACATGGGTTATATAGAACACTAAACGAACCAGTTGGAGGCGCATTCCAGGCACCATAACGTAGCCTCTGCTGCTGAGATGTTCTTATTGCAGGTATAATTTCCGATTCTGCTTTTTTTTTTGTTTTTCAGTGGGAGCTCATGGTGGTGGCACGGTGCATGGAAGGACAGAGTGGCTGACAGTGAGCTGCCCAAGCAAGCTGCTGGCTCTTGTGACCGTCTCCGAAAGCCTCTGGATGGGCTAAATTGCAGACGTGCCTGGACATTTATAAATGGTAAACACAATCTAGACTACCTTTGAATTATGCCTTGGTCTAACGGATGTAGCTTGGATGTCGTGTTTGGCTGCTAGAATGGAACTGGATAGTGTTAAGCGGCACATGTCACCAAGTAAGCACACGCTGGGACGCTTATCCACAAACTCGGCTTCCCAGTCCACGAGCCACCAAAGACCCAGCCAAAGAGATCCCGAGTCATCCATGATTTCATGTTTCATACGTATATGATGGTTTTACTGCAACAGCTCATAATATTTGGCATTCTAAACTTTCCCATCACTAAGAATACATTTTTGTGGTGCCATCCGTGTTGGTTTTCAAAAGCTCTGATATCTGGGCCTTGTTCTGTTAGTTTCCATGCAAACTGTGAATCGCTTGCCAGGGATGCTTTTGCCACTGCAGGCCAATTTCCTTGGCAAGGCATTTAACTATTTCTGGTTTCATACTTGGCTTCAATTGATTGTTGAGCCATTGACTTTCTCTTTCGACGCTGGCACTGCCACCACAATAGTCCCATCACATACACTGGCACTACTGCTCGTTACAAAAGGTACAGCCGTTTGCATCTATCTATCCATCCCTTAGATGGTCTTTTCTCCTATGCCATGGTGGCCCTTAAGTTAATGTAGTTATCCACTTGCAATGAAGTTCTTCACATCAAGGTAAAAGGAATCTTTCACATTCTTTTAGAAGATTCTTCACTTCAAGAGTAAAAGGAGTTTTTCACATGCCTTAAGAAGATTGGTCCCAATATAGGAATGTTGCTTGCCCCGACATCTCTGTTCCTTTTTCTTCTACTTTGAAACTTCCTCTTTTCCTGCCTCAGTCTCAGGCTAACATCAGAATGGTTAATCTCTAAACCACCTCTGTAGTGGTTTCTCGATGTCTTAACATGCCGTGCGTCAGAATGTGTTTTGTCGCGCTTTTATGTCACACCGTTTCTTGAGTAGTTTACAAAGATCTTGTGGGCTCCAGTGACACAAAACTTTTTGTCTCCTTCTCCACATGCCTTATTATTTCAAGTTTTGTTGCAAATGTCAACTTTGCCCTCTAGACATTCACAGTCATAACAACTCTCACAGAATTCAGTGGTTATTGTACTCTTTTTACTGGTTTCCTTTTTGAGCAAAATGTGAGAGTGCCAAAAGCACAAGCTCGGAGGAAGGGATCAAGAAGAAAGAAGATGGAACCCGCGCACGGTGTGGTTGTGGTGGAACGCGAAGCAAGGCATCGGCGCTATGGCCGGTGGAACGGCAAGCAAGGCTTCGTGGGTTTGGGTGGTCAAACCTTGAGCAAGGCTTCGTCAAGACTGTTGGTGGGCCCCGAGCAAGTCTTAGACAATGTGCCTGTGCTTGTGAGTGAGCACTGTGTGGTGCTGTAAGCACCCAAGCCACCACCGACATCTTGGGACCATGATTGGACTCTCCTCCTCCTCCAAATGTATGGCATCTTTGATTTGGCTTCTGTTCCTTTTGTTATGCTTTCAAAGCTTTTGTGTTTTTCCTTCTGCGGTTATGAAGAGTGGAACGCTTGCAAGATATGTTCTATTCCTTTATTTATTCCTTTTTTTTTACGACTGTGTGTGCGTCCTGTGCACCTTTTCTTTACTTTTGAATTTCTTTACTATTAAATAGTGTTCCGTAACGCCAGGCTCGACTCACTCTCAGTTCCTACCGCCTCTCAGGAAGTCCATCGCCTAGGTGTGGCCTTAGCACCTGGACAGCGGTCCAATTCAAATTACAAGTTTGTTTTTATGGGATCTTTTCCAACCGAACCTGTGACTAACTTGTGACAGGTTCAAGTCCTGTAGTGGATGCCAGTTTGTCACAGGTTCGGTTGGAAAAGATGCCATAAACAAACCAACTTGTAATCTGAATTGGACCGCTGTCCAGGTACTAGGGCCACACCTAGGTGATGGACTTCCTTAGAGGCGGTAGGAATTGAGAGTGACTTGTACCTGGCATTTCGAAACACTATTTATGAGTAATGAAATTCAAAATTAAAGAAAAGGTGCACAGGACGTACAAACGGTCGTAAAAAAATGAAAATAATAAAGGAAAAGAACATATCTTGCAAGCCTTCTGCTCTTCGTAACAGGGGCAAGAAAATCACAAAAGCTTCGAAAGCGTAACAAGGAGGGAACAGAAGCCAAATCAAAGACGCTATACATTTCGTATGAGGAAAGTCGAATCATGGTCCCAAGATGTTGGTGGTGGTCCCAGTCCCTTGCGGCACCAGTCGGAGTCGAGAACTTGTGGTGGCTTGGGTGCTTATAGTGCCGAACAGCGCTCGCTCACAAGCACATGCACATCGTCGAAGTTTGCTCAGGGCCCACCAACCATCTTGACAAAGCCTTGTTCGGGGTTCGACCTCCCACACCACTGAAGCCTTGCTTGTTGTTCCAACCACTGAAGCCTAGCTCTATGCAGCTTCCGCCTTCCTTCTTTTTTTCTTTTTCTTCTCTTCCGAGCTCGTGTTTTCGGCACTTGTGCATCTTACTCAAAACGGAATCACACGAAGAAAAAAATCGTTCAATTCTGTGACAGCAACATGTAGGCCTATTTGTTGGTTGATTCTAATGTCAAATATCCATGATTGTCCACATTGGATATCATTTGCCTGCGGTGTGTTCTGCAGCCACAAACATCTGCCATGCCACCGCTACGCATTAGTGTTCAGTGGAGAAACCTGCTACGTGGCTTCAGAGCGTGCAGTCATTAATTTCAACACTAGGGAATATGACAGTGCTGTCTCATGCAAACGGACACCTCCGTTCCTACCCAAAAGCGTCCATAATGTGAGCTGTGCATAATAACAGGACAAAATGCAGGTATTTACCCGGTTGGTCCCCGAAAACGGTTCTTATATAGCAGAGTATCCATATTATTGAGACATGACTGTTTCCCCACCCTGCCCGAGTCCTACTAGAGCGACAAAGAGAAACACCTGACACTGATATGCCTCAAGACTGGATAATACGCCAAAAAACACAGACGAAATGAAGGAAGATCTGGGCAGGACACGTCTTAACTTTTAACTGAATAGTTTACTTTGGTAAAAAAAATATATCTACTGATAGGGAGTAACACATGCTGTGTGAACACTGTAAACCTGATTCGCATGGTGTGACTTTACTTGGGAGTTTGCTGTTGTGACGTCACTCATGCAGCGAAATATAGGCATGGGGGAAGCTGCAGTGCCTGACGTCACAGGTGTAAATTTGCAAGCGAAATTGCGCCATGTGAAGTGGGCTGATGCGTCGTCTGAATGCACTCCCCCAGAAACGAGCGTCATTGGCTCTGCAGACCGTGGAATTCTTTGTCATGTATTAGTAATGAGGGTGGGCTCACATGAGTTGTTATTCTAGGATTTCATCAAGAAGGCATTGCGAATTTTCCTCTTTGCTTTTGTCTTGTAGCAGCCCATGACACTAGTCTTTTTCTAAGTTGGACTTGCACTCACAATGGACAGAGTGAATTGCTAGGTGACCTTCTGGATAAAATACCAGGGTAACAACTCTTGTCTGAGGTGCACCCTTAGTGTCATTGTCTGACAGAATTTCACTCTCTGTGGAACTAGTGGCACTGGTTTCTGAGGAAGTGCATTTTGACCTTACAGTGTTCTGCCAGCAGGTGTCAGTTTTTATCTGTATAGATGCTTTTAGGGAGTCAGTTACTCGAGCTGCCACCAGTCGGCGCGCTTAACGGGCTGCCATAGCTGACCTTCATTTTGTCGCCGTTGCTTCGCATTGTGTGCTGCACCGGTCGCCACCAGAGCTTTGTTTTCGTGTTCTTTTACGTTCCGTGTTGAAGTCGAGTGTTTTCTTTAGGTCTTTTTGATATTTCAGGCTTTCATTTATTCATTTGATACCTAAGTTTCAATATAGATGTATTTTCTTATTTATAGAATGGAATCGGACAGTGAATGGATCACGATACAAGATCATGGCCTAGGCTTCAGAGAACATGTAAGTTCATCACATTCTTTTGTTTTTGTCGCTAATAAAGGGCAGTCAACACCATTGCGACATATGAAAATATCAACTGACGCAGTGAGGCTATCTCCAGATGCCCGTCGTTGGTTTGGCACGCAAAACCCCCAAATTTTTGGCAGTGAGGCTATCGCAGTCGTGCTTCTCGGTGCATGTGCGCGCTTTTAGACATTGTTTCCGTAGATAAAAGCCGGACCGCATGTAAGCGCTTTAGCAAGCAAGACGAGAGACAACGACGAGTCAGCAACGAAAGTTTCTCACTGCCACTCGTCGCGGCGCTCGGCTTTTTGATTTCTAGAAAACCGCATGAAAGCGATTTGGGGAGCAGCGAGACAAGCGACTCGCTTCGCTTTCGCTCGATCAGTCGCGCGACGAGGCAAACCGCACGCAAGCGACCAAAACGACGAGCGACGTTTTCTAGAAATCCAAAAACCGAGCGATGCGACGGGCGACAGCGAGAAATCTTCGTCGCTGACTCTCATCGTTGTCGCCGTTGCTCGTCTCGCCGCTCGCTTGAGCACTTACATGCGGTTCGGCTTTTACTTACAGAAACAATGTCTAAAGTTCGCACATGCAGCAAGAAGCACGACTGCGGTAGCCTTACAGCGTCAGTTGAAATTTTTATGTGTCGCAATGGTGTTGACTGCCCTTATTAACGATTAAAACAAAATGTGATGAACTTAATGGTCTCTGAAGCCTAGGCCATAATCTTGTATCGTCGATCCATTCGCTGTCCGATTCCATTCCATAAATAAGAAAATACAAGAGCGATGTTCAAATGTCGGTATCAAATGATTAAATGAAAGCCCGAAATATCAAAAGGACCTAAAGCAAACACACGATTTCAACGCAGAACGTAAAAGAACTCGAGAACAAAGCTCCGGTGGTGGCCGGTGCAGCACACAACGCGGAGAACTGCGAGAAACTGAAGGTCGGCTGTGGCGGCAGGGTCACGTGACGTCAAGGTGGCGGCGGCGCACCCATGAAATGTTGCCTGAAAGGGTCTATATGTATTTCTGTTTTTTTATACGAACCATTCAGTTGAAGGTTATGCAGTGTTCTGTCCAGATCTTCCTTTGTTGTGTCTGTGTTTTTTTGGCATATTATTCAGTGATGAATAGCCAACTTGCCATCTTAAGCCCCAAGACCATGGAGCATGCATACCAAGATATCTTTTGGCAGGCTTGCAATAACTTGTGCTTTTTTCATGAGCCTCGAAAAATGGGAAGCCTGCCAAAGGTATCTTCGTGTGCATGCTGAATGTATTTAAGTCGTGTCGGGGTCGGTTGTTGTTCCTCTTGGTTGCTTTAGTGGGACTCTCATCCCATTTTACATTGAAAGTTTATAATACAATTTCACAAAAATATTGCTCACATTCATTGTATTTATTGATTCAATATAATCAAGTCAGACTGAATGTTTTTCTGATCTGATTTTCTTTTGTGTCGTTTTAATTTCTAGGGAATTTGGTTTTTTGTGGGTTTATAGCTTCAGGGCTGTCAGTGGAAGTTGAGACCACTTTATATTGCAACCTTAGAGGTAGCAAGGTGTAAAGTTGGGCGAGTTGATTGGTGGTCATATTGAATGGGTTAAAACAGCGCAAAAAAGATTGACGAGTAAAAGGAAAGACAGCGCTGTGTTTGTGATTAAACATGAGGAAGATGCAAAGAAAGGGGGGACGGACAACGAAGTTGTCCGTCTGTCCCCCCCTTTCTCTGTGTCTTCCTCGTGTTTAGTTACTGTTACCAACATGCTTGTTTTGTACGTAACTGTGTCTGTGTTTCCTTTTACTGGTCCTTCGTCTTTTTAGAGGTAGGTAACATAAATACCAAAAAGTACTTCTATGCATTTAAATTAAAGCAGATAGAAAACATTGTCTTTACAGTGAAGTTGTACTTATGGCTTGGTTTTACTATCAAGAGAATCAAGAATTCCCTTGCGGCAATTCAAAGTCTGCTTTCAAACGATCTGAGCAACCTTCCACAGTACTGTATGTTATATGTGGTGTTCACATTGAGGTGCTCTAGCTGGCTTTTATTTTGCATTTACTGACAGTAATATTCTACAAATGGAGGGACATCATGTTTGTCACTGTCAAGTTCTGTAGTTCCTCCGTTATGTATTCTCCTGCAGTATGAAAGACCCAATGGGAGCGCCTGGCCGAGGCAGTGACTGGTGTGCTCTGGGAGATCCCAACCTACCCAAGGGGGAACTCACTTAGTGTTCAGCTAAAGTGCAATGCACACTTATCAGTTTTTGGGTTCACGGTAAAGAGCAGTTCATTCACATTATGTCACAGCCACTAATTCTGAAATGGCTGTCCGAGAGAAACTGGCCCGAGTCAAGGCAATTATTTTCACTTCTAAAGTGCATGGTCCATGCCATCCTTCTGATTAATAAATCCGCTCATCAAGACATTTTATTTTTCAAATATGAGACTCGGGTGCAACATTAATATTTGTGCCTGTTTTCAAATTTTACACCAGAAACAACTGATAACAAAAACAATAATGAGCATGCTTACTTCGAGCCTCCATGATCATATCTGTGGGCGCAATGCCGATAAAGCACGCTCTTAGTCTAAACCTAAATCAAAAACTGTCCTCAAGTTCAGGACCAGTTCAGCCCCGAGTGAGCGTCCTTTCCTCGAGGCAGAACAGAATCTCGTGGAGCGCACATAGCGCCCCCGACCACGGTCATCTCGGCCACGCGCTTTTAGTACGTCTTTTATAATGAAGGAGACTGAAGATACCACCAAGACCTTTTGGGTGGCCTTTCTGCTGTTATAATTTAATTAGGAGCATGATTTATAGTTCATGTGAAACATATTTACTAAACATGCATCACTGGTTATCTTGTTCGTTCTCCAGGTGCTGCTATCCAGCTCTACGTCACAGCCATGAAGTGGCCATGGGGTGAACTGTGTACAACTGCTGTCATTAGTACTCGAATCGGCAGAGCCACCTACTAGCTCTGAAGCACAGTTGCCAGGCACCAGATACTCGACCAGCGACCAACCTTTGTCGCTCTAGTGGGACACGAGAGCGACAAACAGAAACAAACGACAGCTACAAGCCTCCAACCCATTCAGCATGCCCGTGGTGGTACTTTTGGCAGGCGGCGTTTATTCGTTCGGTGCTCGTGAAATAAGCATGAGTGATTCTAAGCCTGCCAAAGATACCCTCGCGTGCATGATGCTTGTGTTTAAGCATAGCCTCCTTTATTCTACAAAGCCCGTCAAATCGGGAAAGACTTGGGTTTGAGACTTGTCGTCATTTGTTTCTGTTTGTCGCTGTAGTGGAACTCGGGCATAAGCTAGCACCATGTACTGAACATGAAATAAAAAACCACTGTATCAAACTTGACTTGATTTTGCAGCTTCATTTGCATGCCAACTGCACAATAAATACAGCAGCTCGCGCATGTTTTCAACTTTCATTTTATTGTTTAAGTATTCTGAGAAAATTACTTTAGCAGCTCCATTAATCGTGGGTCACTAAATCCGGAACAAGGTAGCAACCAGTTTTTTTCTGCACACAGCACCAAAAACTGGAGATGTTTGACTATATCATATACCACAAAAAACATCCTTTGAATGACAACATAGACTTCCTTGGGAGAAGTCTGTAAATTCCCCGTATAGCCAAGATTGAATGACCAGAGAACTCCCACCCTGGCCCACACTGCATTTACACCGTTTTGCCAAGCTTGACTGACCACTGAACTGCCAGTGTGGCCCAGGATGCATTTAGACCGTTTTGCCAAGCTTGGCTGACCACTGAACTGCCAGCCTGGCCCACGCTTGTTTTACACCGTTTAGCCAAGCTTGGCTGTACAAGGAACCCCCACTGAACTGCCGGGCCGGCTAGCCAGGCTGGGGCTAGCTTGCCCCTTGGAGCAAAACGGTGCTTGGGCCAGGGAAACTTTCCCCGGCTGCCCAAGCAGGCTCAAGCTTGAGCCGGTGAATTGTGCTGCTTGGGAAATGGCTTTTGTTCCGTAACACCAATCTTATCCGGTGTTCCTCAGGGGAGTATCTTGGGGCCTTTTTTGTTTAACCTGATATTGTAAACGTAAACCCAGATATTAAATATATAATCTATGCTGCCGGCACGAGTTTATTTTTATCAAGATACTGCTGGTCACGAATTAGTAATTAAAGCAAATAAACACTCAAGGACCTAGTTACACTTGAAGTAGTTCTAATTCCTGAAAAAATTATTGAGAGCAAAACAAAAGCTATTTTATTTCGTCCAAGGAACAAGAATGATGATATTACCAGCGATATTATCCTCAATTCAACAAGAAATATAAGTTATTTCTAGTTTTAAAACACTTGGTATCATCTTCAAAGATCGAATGAGATGGGACGAGCATGTGAATTATGTATCTGTCACGCCTGTTGGCATAATATACCGTCACCGCCATATTTTACCAAAACATGTGAAATTACTAGTTTATTATTCATTATTTCTTTCCCATGTAAACTATTGCCATCTAGGTTGAAGAAATACAACAAAATGAAAATTTAAATAAAATACTTGTCCTCAAGAAAAAAAGAAAAAGTTTTTACGAAACATCTGTATAATGCCCCATATGACTGCAATGACCATCCTAGTGCGCCACTTTTTAAAGGCCTAAGTCTGATGCCTGTGAAACTGTGTGTAACTTATAAATCACACGTAGAAAAAATTCTCATACATTTCTGGAACTTGCGTCTTTAACACCGAGAGTGACCGCATATCCCACCCGTAACACGGAGTACTGCGGTGATCCCCCCCCCCCCCCCCTCCTTGTTTTCCTGAAGGTATCTATTCTCAATGCCCCCCCCCCCCCCCCCCCCCCTAAAAGTTTAGACAGCCCCCTAATTTCAATCCCTGGGGAAACCCCTGGAGTACTGGATGCTCCAAAAATACGAACCAACGTATGGCGCGAGCAAATGATATCAATTACACTACCTAGGCTCTTCGCACCAAAGACATCCGCCTTTTTTTTTTATTTTTTTTAAATATGACTGTGTAGCAAATGCATATCTTTGTATGTATACCTTTGGAACAATGCTACCATAAATGTATTGCCTTACTTAGTTGTATTGAACTGTGTTTTGCCTGTATGCATTCCTTTTTCTGCAAATATTCTTTCATGTGAATTTTTTTTTTTTTTTTTTTTTTTTTTTTTTTGCTGGGTTATTGCTGTTAAATGTAAGGATGGCAGGCCGAGGGCTCGTCCAGCTGCATCATACAGCTTTTTTCTTCGGTCTCCCTCCGTCATACACTTTTTGACGGAAAATAAAACATATTATTATTATTATTATTACTATTTAAAGAAAACGCTTCCTTATGTTATCAACATGAAATGGGCCATTCGGTCTTAGCACGCAGGTTTGTAGACTTGCCTCAAATACTGCGATTCCATGTTGACGCACTCCTCTGGAAGCTTTTTTGTTTTGAATGAAGGCGGATAATTATTTGCAGGTTTTGTTCTTTTCTGGTGATAATAAAGTATATATTTAGCAATAATGACCACGTCGGAACGCCTGCATAAAGCGAATGAAACTCAGGACTAATGATAGCAGACGACAACGACCGTGTCCTTTTTTTTATGTGCGAATTTTAAAACAGTGCCATAATTACAGCCACAATTCAAATTGGAATAAAATTAAAAAAGAAATATATCTATACTTAACTCTTGTTACCGCTTGATTCCATTGCTTTAAATTATTTTCGTATTCTCTAGCTGCGTTTTAGTGGCTCGTCAAGTTGAAATCGAACTCAAACAAGCGTTTCGGGGCAGTAAAACTGGAAACGCCGATTGGCTGAAAAAAAATGACGTCACTTCCGGTTTTGTTATTTTGTTGATTTTTAGATCACGTTTTAAAGTAAAAATATATTAAAAGGTACTTTTCTTGTTTTTGTTTGTTTTTACTTTTTTTTTTTTTATTTTCCTTGCTTGATTCTTTAATTTTGGCTGGTACGGTTCCGTTCTGTTCCGCCTTGGCGCCCTTGGCCGCGGGGGAAATGTTTTTGTTTTCGTTCTACGTTCAGGCAGTTCAGGTGTTGGGTGGCGACGTATTAACCGTCGATAACCAGCTGAAGCAGCTCAAGCTCAAGTTCTCGAGTGGAACGAGGTTGACCGTGCGCAGTGGCAGCCGTTGACAACAAAAACAATGTATGCACTCAGCTTCGCCGGATGAGTGCCGGCGTCGATCGCGAACCGCCAGAGCCGCCAAATACCTCTCGTACATCTCCAAGAACACCAAGAACAGGAGGTATTCATAAAGGTGAGTGTTCACCGCACTTTAGTGCTTCAGTTCCGTTTGGAGTCGTTTGACATAATTTAGTCCGGTGCGTCCGGGAACAAAGGCGCTACCAGAAATGGCGGGAATGGTCGGTCGGTGCTGAATGCTGATGCCATCCAAGCGGATTTGAATTGGGTTTCGTGCGCTCAACGTGTCGATTTGTTTCTTGAGCTGCCTTTACCAACCGTTCGCCCGAAATCGTTCGGTAGAACATGCGGACGTGACGGCTAGCAGAGCCCTCCGCAAAGGCTTAGGAGCGCGCTCACAATTTTGGAAGCTTCCGTATGACCGCAAGTGCTCAATAAGTCGCTATAGCAATGATTGCATGCCATCGACACAGACTTCGATCCAGTTTTTCAACGAGACAGGAAGGCCCAACGAAGCAAGCGTAGAATCTGATGCTTCGCCTGTCACTGTCTGCGCGGGAACACGCCGAGAGGCGCTTAAACGAGCTGCCAGGGCGTAATTAAAAAAAAAAAAAAATCTAACGCAGGTCTGAACCACGCGAGGATCGTCTCGAAGCATGGTAGCCTCAACAGACGCTTGCCGCCACACGCGAGGAGAAAGCAGGAGGCCCGAAGTTTGAATGTGAAGGTAAAACGTGCTTTAATAATAATGATCTTTATCTGCACGTTCCTTTGTATGACTAAGGTGATCGTGCTGAGACACAATATAGCAGCGATTGCTCTCGAACAAAGGACAGGACAGCAGAAAGGCAATGAGAGGCAGGGAGATAACTGACCTCTCTGTTGTAAAACAGTTTTCAGAGGAGGTGCGAAGAGCTGGCCCTCACTTTTTCAAGGCAGCCGCAGAACACTACGAGCCCCGAATCACTGCCGCGGCTGACTCACGCGGATGCTGTGCTGCACCCTGCACTGCACATGGTTCGAAGCACACTTCAGGGGACCAGTGCATGCCCCTGATGCATCGTCGCGGTATGTTTTGTACTGCTTTTCCTAGCGGTGCACTGAGCAGTCCAATCTTGAAGGGAGCACGCGAGTGCGTAGCCAGTGCTCCATGCAGCGAGGACCGCAAGCACCCGCGGAAGCTTGGAGCACACGCAGTGACGCCAGCAGCCGTGCACGCTGGCGTCGTCTGCTACTGTACCGTCCTTTCGTTCGGTGCGCAGAAAAAAAAAGGAGTGACCGCTCTGTTAAAAGTCTGATGGTGAAGGCATCCTTTACAGAAGCACTGTATGGCTCTCTGCACGCTAGAATGGGGGCTGTCGTTGATGCTCGCAGAGGCGTCGCCCACAACTAAGCAGACGACCAAAGTCCTGAGCAGGTGACTAATCGTTTCATTGTTCTTTGGTAGGGAAAGGTAGATAATGTGCTTCTACTCCCAGCTTTGTTTTTTTTTTTTTTTTTTTTATCACCATTTAGTATGTTATTATCAAAACAGCATCCTGGTGTTCACATAAATATGTGTTAACAATACCTATCGTCAAATATGTGACCTAAAGAGCCAACTGCGGCCGAGGATATCTTTTAAGTGTTCTTTTTCTCACAAAGATCCCTGGCATTGACTTTTTAGCCACATACCTTGAGTCCACAAAAACAATGTGCTTCAGCTAAATGGTATTCACACAAAATACATCCTGACAAGCTGCTTTCACTCTCGAGCCTCGAAGAAATTTTGCAGTTTGATTTGAACTATGTTGCAGGTTAAGGAGGTAGGGTCAGGGAAAAGAAGGTGGGAGAGGAGGAAGTGGGCACAATGCTGGTCAAACCCTCTCCCTTCGCCGGCGTTGCATCCATCTCCTCCTCTCCCACCTTCCTTTTTCTTCCCCTACCTTCTTGAGTTGTCACCGACCATATAAAAGGCATGCATTGATATCACTTGTTCGTTTTGTGGCCATGGCGCCAGCAAGGTTTGAGAAACGTATCCTGCTTCACAGGAATTCAGCACTCAACATGGAGAAACTATTGGCAGTGCTGCTGTAATGTCTTTGTCCTCGTCTTTTGCAGCCATCTAAAAAAGAGAAATATAATACTAGGAACACAGAGCAACGTCACGCGCCAGTACATAGTGTACTACGAAGGGCAGGTAAATTGACTGCGGAACACGATTTTCTCAATGTCCTCACGGTTCTTTCGGCCAAGTACATACAGATAAGACGATTACCATTAGAAATGTTGAACGCCAATCCGAAATGTTTTTTGGTGGTGTGCCGAGCAAAAGGACATTGCTGCAACAGAAAACATGTGCCATCCTCCGCCTTTGGTGCTTCTGTGTCTGCGCCGAGCTTCCGCAGCCACCAACAGTCAACGCTGCATGGACTGCCCGCCATGCTTTCATGCGTTCCATGTATGATTGGCACGGCATGTGGATGTGTCATGCAAGTGACATCAGCGCTGTTGGCAGTGCCATGCTGGTTGAGCTTTGCTAGGCTCTGACCATTGACAAGCTGTTTTATGCAATAATCGCTCTTGGAAGTCCCCAAACTGTTTTTAGCAATTCAAGTGTCAGATTTTTTTTAGCTATGGTTATACAGGTTTTCTTTTTTAACATTTACAGATTTCAAAGAAAAAGTGAAAGTTATGACAGTTATAAGTTATACGGCCAGGCGGACATTAGATTCATGGAAGAATGCAGCTAAAAGTCCGTGTAGATCATGTGTATCATGCTTCTCTGCAGCGCAGCTACATACTTGCGTAGGACCACCCCCATGAAGTGGGGTGGGGGGGCTGCATGCGTGTGTTGGGTAGCCCCTCTTGGTTTTACAACTCTACCCTGTTGTAAAATTTTAGATTTTAATGCGAACAAGTTGATAACAAAAAAGAACTTGGTCAACATTGATCTTACAACTCGAGATGTAAAAGGAACAAAAATAGAGAACAGCAAAATGTGGAAGAAGACATCTCGCTTCTTTCATTTTCATTTCACTAAGTGACATTGGTCGGCGACTGTAAGACTTTTAATCACAATAGTTATACACCACAGGTCCCGGGGATCATGGCATCGATGAGCTCGCTTTCGCCTTGTCCAAGGTAGCAGCGGAACACTACGGGCAGGCCCGGAGTCACCGCACCGGCTGGCTCACGGGCGTCGTCCTGTACTCTGCACGGCACTGCGTGTGGCTTAACCAGCCAAGCAGAGGGTCACTGCATGACCTTTATGAGGCGTCGCTAGCCATTGTAAGTATATTTTGGACGCTCGTGTCAGGGGATGTACTTTTGTGTTCTACAACAGAACATGTTTGGTGGCGGTTCAGTCTTGCCAATTCAGCCATTTCGAAACATAATTTTGTGGCGACTTGGCTTAGGTTTTCTGGCTCGGCCGTCTTTTGCACCAGTGTCTAGGCTCGGCGTAAGCCTCTTAGTTCTTTATTGTCAAGGCTAGTGTAATTTCTGCTACGCCGTCGAAGCAACTTCTGCATGCGAACAAGATGCAAGACGAAGCTACATGCTCGTGCACAGTGCATGACCACATGTGAAAACTAATAGAGAGTTTGTTTCGCTGGA